TGTAATGCCATGAACTCGTATCAACAGCTTCCGTCAAGACTGTCTGTGAAATCTCCTAGTGTAGTGGTACCATTGAGTCATTAAGAACTGCTATTGGTGACTGCAGTTAAACAATTGTCAGATGAACATCTTGTCTGACTTCATTTGATAACTGCCCTGAAGGAAAATGGATATTTGTTCAAAACTGGAAACTGACCACAAACCCATTTGAGAACAATCTAAGCAGCTTGCGGCTATGAATATGCGGATTGTTGCAGAAGCAATTAGTCTTAATTTTAGACAATTTCAAACTGCTCACAAATTGTCAATGTGAACTACTCTGCCTGCTATGTTTTGTCGCCTTTGCTAATAATAAAAACAGCAGAAATAATACTGAGCATCTGATTTATCCTTGAGGTCTGGCATGAACTTTGAGATGGCATGAGAACGATAAATATTCAGTGAGTTATTTTTATAGTAACTCAAAGTTTATACTGTTTGGACTTAGTTGTAATGATGGAAAGCAATTTATCTAGGGTTGTCGAAAATTTGAATGGCTTCCTACCGTTTCAAAAAAACTAATCAGTGTGTCTTGAGATGCAGCGAGACTTCAAAAAGCTAGCAGGCCCAACAGTCGAAATAGGGACAGCATGGCAGAACTGTGTATATTCTATCTAACCGTTGCTTTAGTATTGAAGGTTTATTAAAATGAACGAGATGGTCTGTTAAAGCGACAGCTGTAACAAGAGGATATAAGATCACAGATGGCGTAGGAGATGCCCTGTTGTAAACTAGAGTAAGAGGATAGTGACCTTTCAGTACACAGCCATCACCACATTGAAGTGACCTTGAGGAACATTTAAGTACAGCGACGGCTAGTACGATGGGGCTGTTCTCATCGATCGTTCAGCTATTCGCTACCGTCATTTAAAACGTGTTTCTGTGTTCTCGATTGTCTGACTGTGGAGATTAATTCTGAAACGAAATGATGGTAACATTACGCATCGTATCACTTATCAACAAGTTCATATTCTGTACTTTTTGAATAGAGGATAAGCAGTAAGATGCTGAGGTGAAAAGAATAGCAGACAAGTGACTGACTGCATGACAGCCACTCGTTTCAGTCAGAAAATATCACAGTTGGAGAGAGGCTTAAAATTATATTCCTTTGTTATGTTTAGTGATTCTAAGGTGCATCGGTCATCAATTAGGATAATCTTTAAAGAATAGGTTTTACTCTCAATTTCAAATGTATCAGTAATTTTATCTCTGTTTCTCTGAAATATAATATAACAGTTTGTGGGATTGCATAAACAGGTGAATTCTTGAAGTATGCAAT